AAAAAAAATGCAAGGCAGCGAACATACCTAATACTCCTGACTCCTATTTTCCCCACAATGAGAACACTGTGAGGTGGGCTGGGCTATGAGAGAGTGAATGCCCCAAAGTCACCCAGCCAACTTTCATGCCTAACACAGGCCTAGAACTCACAGTCTCCTGGTTTCTAGGCCAACACCTTAACCACTACATCAAAGTTTCTGGAAAACCCAAAATGGCACAAATAAAAGCAGTATTTCATTCTTCATCACAATCAGTAAGTGTACAGAAAATTATATTTATTAGACCATCTCTGTGGTAACAATTGCATGTAAACTTTTTATTTTATTTTAGTTTTAGCCTTGCCTCAATAATAATAAGCTAGATTTTGTAATGTCGGAATACTTTTAACTCAGCAGCAGGAAAAGGCCCATAGTTCCAACTCCATTAGATCATGTGAGAAAGGAATTAGTTGCTTCTACATGCTTGGTGTTTTATTTTGGCAGGATGTTATCATTTAGCATGTATTTATATTGTACCTCTTTTGCCTTTTTGCTATTTATTCATCATGTTTTGAGCTCTTGAAGTGATTTACAGCTGGTGCAGAAAGAATGGCCTTTTTTTTTTTGGTTGCCTCAGTACTCTCCTAAAATTGATAAATGTATAAGTGCATTAGCAAGCTATGTGGACAATTCTGAATGCAAAAGTTAGATTCTGAAGGAGTGCGTGCACTCACACACAAATAAACAGGGACTGTAACATGGATTTTTTTCTTGTGTAGGTTCTGCTCAGTGAGTACACAGAGAGGATACTGAAGGAGAAGCATAGGATGGTGATGTACAGCAATCTATTGCACCCCTAGCACCTTGTCTATTGCTTTCCCAACAAAGATGGCCTGATGAAGTTGGCACTTTCTTCCAGGGAATAGGAACTACACAGATAAGTTTGGATGCATAATTTAATAAATTAATCAATAATTAATTATCCTCTATGTTAAAAATATACTTAATAATCTAGCATAAGAAATGGGGTAACAATCAGTAGTGTAGTATGAGGCTTGTGTAGCTTGCTATTCATTTTGGGACAATAACTTGGTGACCCACCCTCCATTCCACTGAATATCGATTGGAGATAGAATTGGAAGGGTGAATCACTTGAACAATTGTGTTTAAATTAACAAATGTCTTGAAGATTGAAGGATCCATAAAACATATAAAACCTGCATGCATGCTAGCAATACTTTGCCTTTCTATTAATGCATGCTATATAGTTCAATTCCAGAGCTTGGTTAATTTGGAAGCTTTTCAAACAACCTCCCACATGACAGCTGTAGCACAAGAAAAAAGTGTGATGCACAAAGAACAAGCAGGCTACCAAAAGATTAAGAATTGCCTTGCTGGAGAATAACATTTAACTACTACGGAAAGGTATTATTTACAGCACAATAGTCCTGGTGTGCACAGTTTCAACACATTCTAACATGAACAGTTTGCAGCATAAATTGCATACTAATTTGAAGAAGGAAGAGAGGAGGAAAAGAAAGGAGGAAAGACAGTGGTATTAATCTGACTTGTTCCATGATAATGTATATGTAGAAATGTCAAGTTGTTTACTGTCTAGTAGTAGTAGCTTAATTTTTGGCATTTGCTAAAAGCAGGGTACACTTAATGTAACAGCTTCTGATGATTGGTTTACTATTTTTGGCTACTTGCATATCTTTTATCTGAAACAAGTCCTGTAAAATCTCCCCTAGAGATTAAAGGGAAAGTGAGTTTGTGTAAAAGATAGTGAATAAAGAAAGATAATCATAGTGACACTGATACCATTTTATTACAATATTAAAATAATAATTGTTAACTTGAAGTTAATCCTTAAAACAAAAATTTGGAATTTTGTTAAGAAAAGATCAGTTTAAGAAATCAGACTCTTAAGGATCATATTTCTATGTAAAAATTTGCCATTGTGCATTAAGATTGCTTATAAAATGCAATTGTGATGTGAGGGTGATCTGGCTGCGACATCTGTTACCCCATTGATCACCGGGGTTGATTCGGCTTATAAAATGCTGATCTTAAACTTTGTTTATTTTCCTGTAGATTCTGTAATAAAGATAAAAGATTTACAACATCATGTCTCACTCCAGGCAAAGGTATATTACACAAATGTTTACTTTTGAAGCATATAAAGTATTTTTATTGTATGTTACCGTAAATGGAATATCTGGCCAAAGATGAAAACTATGAGCTGACTGTGGATATTTCTGTAGAATAGCGTGCACCATATATGATGGCTTAAAGGATTTTCTGAGGCCAGAATGTTAGCTGAAGTAGACGTATATTTGTACCAATGTTTATTGTTAACTTATTTATTTATTTACTGACAATTTCCCTTATAGAAACTTTAGTTGCATAGCTTTGTTAAAAATAAAAAGCATGCTGAATATGCTACTGTATAACAGTTTCTTTAGTAGTTCTTCTACAGTTGAAAAATATGAGGTACTAAGAACGGTTATACATTAAAATCAATATGGGTAGTCCTCACTTAACAGCCCTAATTGGGACTGGAATTTCCATCGCTAAGCAAAGCAGTTATTAGGCAAAACATCATGTGACCGCACTGGCAATGGCAGTTCCACTAGTCCTGGTTATGGTTGTTAGGCGAGGACCTCATGCTTCACCTGCCCTGCTGTGGCCATTGGTTTGGGGATTAAAGATGGGAAAGGTGGTAGTTTACTTCCTCAAATTTCCAGTGCCCAAGTATAAAGCTTTAAAAAAAGCTATACAGATTGTCCAGAAAAAAATTGGCCTTGCTCATGATTTTGCTGTATCACTGGAAGGCTCCTTTTTCTGGCTTGCTGAGGAATGAGTTGTTGTCCCTGATTCAGAAAAAGTTGCCTAGCCCAGAATTTATAGGATAACTGCAAGCAAACTTTTGTTAATGAAATATAATCTAAAAAATGCATGCAGTTATAATTTTATATTACCTTTCAAAATTAAATGGTTTGTGTTTAAGTAAACTATATTGTTCAGCATAGAAAATAACAAATGGACTTGTGAGATGCAGCTCTTAAACTAAAGGAAATTTAATTTGTTTCAGAATTTTGAATGTGGTTTCCTAGGCAGTAAGGTAAACAGATTGATACTTTATGAATACAAAAACAATTAATTGTTTCATTTAATTTAAAGCAATAATTCATTTTGTGCAATATATTGTCCTGAATGTCAGAACTTACCTAGAATATTCAATTTCTGCAAAACTCATTCATTGCTTGTGATATCCAAATAAAGTCTAGAAAACTGGAAGCTTGGATACTGTTCCTAAACGAAAGTATGTCATAGTAGATTGATCTAATATTTGTTTCTAGAATAATGTCTTAGTGTCTAAATAAAACGTTTTCTTTTAAAGGGCATGGATTAGGAATCTGCACTAATGCCAGGGGAGCATAACTGAAGATTTCATGTAACTGAACAAGCTTCAGCAAATGTAATAGATTCAGCCACAGATGCTTAAATAGTTACTAAGATACTTAGATACTAAGACTACCATATCTGGACTGCAGAAATCTAGACAGCAACAAATAGTTACAGAAAACCTGAATGTGGTTATCCAGATTTTTGTTACCTTACTGGTAACCCTAAGCAAAGCCTTGGTACATCTAGCCTGATTTTTCTGTGATGTTCAAGGATTTCAGATTTTTTTTTCAGCTCTACCCAGAGCCACAATTGAACCTGAGACCATTTACACTCACCAGAAGACGCTAAATATATGCAGCAAAGGCTTGAACATCACCTGCCAGTTTTTGCTGATTTTTTTTTAAACATTACAAATATTAAAGAATTTAATTGTTTTACTATAAATTAATGATCATACTAATGTCCTCACATGTGATCACCAAATCATAAAGATTTAGAGATAGTTCAAGAAGGGGAAGGATAAATCATGGTTCTTAGAAGAAATGATTCTTTGAAACATGTATCTTTTTGTTTTTACTTTGAATTTAATCTTCATTTTGTGTTCTGACTGCAGATATAATTGTTCAGTATGTCCTATGCAATTTGTAACCAGAGATTTATATCACCTAGCTGAATGAAAGAACTCTCTAAAGGTAAAATGGAAGTTGGAGGATATTTATTAAATATATCATATAACAATACTGCCAGTATGTGTCCATATTTTCTTCAAACCTCATCCTTTGTGGATGTCATGAGGATTCTAGTTGAATATTTTCTTCAGTCTGTCTCTATGTTTAGCACTACAGGTTGATTATTATAGCTTCTTATATTTCACAATTGGTTGTAAAATATTTAATAGAACAAATAAATTTCCTGCCCCCTACTTCTTAGGAAATGAAAATTGTCACTCTGCTGCAGCTTATTGAGGCTGTTTGAAAGAAAAATTTGGAGCTGGTCATTGTTTTATGTAACTGTAATTAACATGTGTAATGTGAGCTGCTAAAAGACATCTCTGCATTTTCCATGTGTAGATGGATACATAACTTATTGCTAAAAGTCACATGATCCTTATAACAATATATGAAGTGGGAACACTGGGTATTTGATACCCAGCCCTGATACAGAAGTATTGTTATTGTCAAGCTTCACACCAAATACATAAAAACTTAAGCAAATTGTATTGCACTAATGACTTTTTAAAACCCATGGGTAAAAAAATAAATAAACACAAAAAGATTAGTCCTTCTACTGTGTAACTTGTAATAAGTTCCTTAAATGAGTTCCTTAAACTTATGGAGAGCTTTACTAATTGCTTATTTAACTTAAACGTGTCCCTTTCTGCTTCTAGTAACTCAGGTAATTGGGTTCAACAAGTCAAGCAACTGAGAGAGATAAGAAATCAGATTGCTAGCTATTTTCTTGTTTTAAGAAGTACAGAATAACATTCTGTGAATATAGGGCATGTCTGAAAGTTTGGGGATGAGCCAAGAATGAGCTGCACTGTTGATTGAAGGACTACGTGAATGAGGAAAAATGGTGTGTGTATGTGGGTATATATGTAAGAATATATGTGTGTATAAATATGCCCAATGTTTGAGTTGTCCTCTGAAGGTCTACTGCATATTTTCATCTGGAATGAGTTAAATTCTGGATAAATTGAGAATCCATACTGTCTAAATTCTTTTTTCCTAAAGTCAGCGTGTGGTTAACTTCTCATTATAAAGCTAAATCAAGATTTTTTTCTGTATCCAGAAATACCAATATTGTTGATTCATATTTATCAGGGTACAAAACTAATATATCAACCAGGAATCTAATATTACCTGAGGCTTGACACCCTTTCATAAAAGCAGATTCTGCTGGGTGAATTATTGTGAGTTCTATGGCTGGTGTGGGTCTTCCGGGCTGTGTGGCCGTGTTCTGGAAGTTTTGTTTCCTAACGTTTCGCCAGCATCTGTGACCAGCATTTTCAGAGGGCAGGAGCAGTTCCGGCTATGAAAGCCTTCAGCCATCGTATTCTGGCCGTGAAAGCCTTCGACAATACATTGTGAGTTCTACTTTCTATAATTTCTCAAAAGGTGACTGCTAAAATCTTAGCAGCATTATTTAACATAATATCTTTGTATAGTTTTCAAAATTACAGTTATATAAGCTTCATATGAAGCTGGCAAGGCTAGGACCTCTTTTCCATAAGATTCTTGATACATATCCAACTGTATTAGAGATACTGCCTCCCTTTTTTTTGTACCATTCTATAGTTAATTCCATCTGGCCCTAGGTTTTTTGAGGTTTTATCGTAACTAGTGTCATTAACTTCCTGTAGTGTTGGGGTGCAGCTGAATCTCTTGAGTGCAACCAAAATTTCTGGCTTGATTTGATTTTTTAAAAATCTCCTTCACTTGCTCTGTCGGTATTTGCAGAGTATACAACTTCATGAAGCATTTAAAAATTAATTTCATTATAATCAATTATCTCCACAGAATCCCTTATTGTAGATATTACTTACTATCTTTCAAAGTAGAGGTCAGTAATTTCCCAGTTTTTTCTCCCTGATCCCAATACAAGAAAATATTATTTATTCAGTGTATATAAATAGGTGAAACTCCAGTATAATTGATCTAAAAGCATGTCATGCATTCAGAATCTGATTTCTTACATTTAAAACTTTTTTTTACTTCCTTTTCTAATTTTCCCTTTTGTAATTCACACATTTTTTTCCATCAGGGGGCATAAATTTACCATGAGTATCTACCATAAAGGCTTTAAACATATCCCAAACAATCCTCAGATTAGTCAGTTCTCTTTATATGAAACACAGATTTTTATATTTTTGGTTTTTGTTTATTTTTTTTAAACTTTATTAATTAAAAATAACAAATAAATATGAATAAGACATTGCATAATACATACAAAACACCATTAACATATAACAATATATACGTAAAAGTATAAGACAATATATACATAGAAAAGAAGAAACATAGTAAAGAAGGAAAAATACAGAGAAAGGAAAAGAGAGAGAAAAAAAGAAAAAGAAAGAAAACAACATTTTAAAAGTGGGGTTTCTAACTGTCTGAACGGTGAATGTATCTACAAATATATTATTTTCACCTCTTTACTAATGCCGATAAATATCTCCTCTATTTCTGTTTAATTAGATATTTGACAACTACATTTTATATACACAATGTTATTTTTTGTGTTAATTCCATGTATCTA